AGAACCTACTTCTGAGATAGTAGCTCTCGGTACTTTATATGCAGGAACCGTTAATCCCGGAGGTATGAAGGAAAAATTATGCTGTGTACCTATGGGCTGTTTACTGATTTCAAACGGGTGGTAATACCACATTCATCCTGAAGAATTACAAGTATCGGCTAAGGATGATAGGCATGTGTAGTCGCACACCAACTATCTATCGATCTTCCAGGGGTGCACTGTAGTCTCATCTGGGCGACCTGTACAGTTAGCAGAGTTGTGGGACATTAGGGAACAAGGTTATACGGATGTGGTAAAGCTCCGCGAGATGATGTTATTGAGTTCACTATGTCCTGAGTGCCAGCCACTTGAGCTTTGGTAGAGCAGACTATGCTGACCGTATCTGTTACCCTCTGCCTTAGTGTGGATTGAGATAGCGAGTTAGAGGGCCACTGTGCAATTAGGGTTTGTGTTTGTGAAGTGTTTCTATTGCGGATGTGGAGGGGGCTAATAGAAAATCACCAGCATGGGGAGCCATCACAATTGTGAAGTGAGCAATCTTACAAGTACAGTTAGTCTTAGTACAGTTTCGAGATACATTGTAGTTGCTCTCTAGGGCTGATCTGAGTAATGGAGACTATGAGAAAATCGCCTCTTGGTGAAGCAGCGTGGAAAACTAGAATTGCCTAATTAATCCAATAGGATTCGTTGATCAGGTCATTTATTCATTAAGGGGGTAATTTGTCTCTCCACCACCCTAAAATTCTACCCTTCAAATCTTCTCCTATCTTCATGTTCCCCCTCTTCAGTCACCCTCCCCCATTTCCTCTTTTTTCCTCCTGTACCCTATCTCTTCTTTCCTATGTCCCCCATTTTTCTCATTCTTCTTTCTGGCCTCGTATAGATAGATATGTCCATTTATACATAAAAGTAAATTATGAAAATTCCTGGGTAGCTTCAACACTCTATGGATAACACATTCCTGATTTCCAACCATTTCCATTTCAGACTTAATGAAAATAGCATGTGTTACACCCTGATATTTCTTAAAAAAACATTTAACTAAGGCCTACCTGACCTTCCTATGTCCATCCCTTACCTCAGACTAATCCTCCTGCAAATCTTGGGTAAGGGAGCCTAAAGCGTCTGGCCTCCAGCTTTGGACAAACAGACATTCTTATAGTACATATATAGATATCGCATATGGATTATTTTTCCCCCCAAGGGCGAATTGGTAGAAATAAAGAGTGAAGACTGAAAGAAATCAGATGAAAATATGTGGAAATAGAGTTAGTGGTGGCATTATTCCCTCTGTCAGTAGGAACGGTAATATAATTTACAAACGCGGCAATTTGATCTCTATTCACCTGTCAGTCGCTGTTAGTGTTGCCATACGGTGGGTGTTGAGATTGGGAGGAGATGTGGTAAGAGAGAGATGTATATTTTTGTTTATTATATATTGATAAGGAAAGGTAAAAAAAAAGTAGTTTTTGCGTGAAATTTAGATTTGCTTGAAGGGAATAGGAACTGATGTTTGGATGAGAGAACATTGCTATTGGGTCATTAACCTACGCTGGAGGAAATGGGGATTTTGAAGGGAAGAATTAATGGGGGACAACATTCATGTTGATGGTTTATATAGTGAAATTGATGGAAGGGAAAGTGTTCAGAGATAAGCCTTGGTAGCGTTGATGTCCCAGTTGTCAGTTAATATTACATGAAGACCCACAGACACAGAAGTAAATATATTTCTAGAAAGGTATTATTAAACAATAAATATATTTATTTGTTTGAAAGTATATTTTATTATTGAATATTTTGTCGTGAATATTGCAAACTTTACATTATTATTTTTTATTTATTTATGTATAAGAAGGTATATTGGCTTGGGAGAGTACATAGTATTGTTCTTACATTCTTACAAAGCCAATAACACGTGTCGCCTTTCAGCAGGTCCTTAACCTAACAGATAAAGGTAAGAATAATTAAAAGGTACATTGTAGCAGAATTTGATTTCAACATAATAGCTACAGTAAAAATTGATTGTATTGATAATACTGGTGATGTTGCATGTCCTAAATACTATAAATGAGTGAGTGGGTAGCACAAGATACAGTGTAAGTTTGAAGCACAAGGTAGCAAAATATGAGGATATAAATAGGTAATTTTTGGTTTTACATTTCAAAAAAGCATAAGTTGGACATTTTTTGTATTTCATTACATTCTGTATTTTATACATTCTGGATTCATTTCATTCTCATTGTAATACATTTTGGATTTGACATTATAATTCATTTATAAACATTAATCAGTTCACGGATTTTGGAATGGTGGAGGTAGACTCCATTCACGGATTTAAGGGGTAATTTCCATACACTTGCATGGCTTGCAATGATGGTTACATTATATGGTTAATTCTGAAATAAGATAATGTATATGAAGTTTTTGAACATGTTTGACAGTAATTTATTGCATAGGCTAGCATATGAAAATTTGCCTAACAGAATAATAATGTAATGATTTAATAGAAAAGCTAGTCAAGGTAAATTTTGTTTAGTTAATTTGCATATTGCAATTGCATTGGGTAGTTAAATTAAGTAGGCTAATGGACTTATAGGCATACATTTCTGTTCCTTAAATAGCAGAGTATAATTTAATTTGCATATTCTGTTTTTTTGCATATGGCATGCAGTGTCTGCCATATTAATTATTATTAGTATTGTGCAATCAGCAGTCCCGGTGAATATATGTTTGCATAACATCTGTTTGTATCCCCGAAATCATAGTGTGGAGACGTTATCCTGTAACTGTTATTTTCAGCCACTCAGATGATCAGTTGAGGCTATCATGTCACGTCCAATCCTCCCAGATGGGTGTCTGTAATTACGGTAGTTTGAGGGATTATATGTAACACCTTGCTAATTGAAATTGATTAGAACATTGCAAAAGGTTAACCATCATGCTTTCTGAATTTGTCATTGATAACCCTTTGTTTTGGTAATTCACGCGTGAAAATACGTTATCATAGATCTGCCATCGTGAGTGTCTGCAGAAAAAGGTTCTGACCCTCACATCTCTTCAAATTCAATTATATGGAGAAACTTGAAAGAAGGTGAAAGAAAGACCCAATATATAATATGTGCAAGTGTATTAAAAAACACATTTTCCTATGTAACCTACATTCTACCTCAAGGTACTGTATACAATGTTCTGAGTAATGTACAAGACGTTTGTGTTCGTAAATCTGGCAGAGCGGCTCACTTAGCCTCCATCGTTGTTGTTATTTAAGATTCAGCTACTCTGAATAAAAAAAATCCAAGTAACACGGGGTATGGTGAGCCCGTTGTGGACTTACCTGGCACAGGAGCGGGGCTGTAACTGTCAGATTTCTTTGTTGTCGTTGTTAGCCCCTATCATGATCACAACGACATCTAATGATGGAGACGAAGTGAGGCGTTCTGTCAGGTTTATAAACGTAAACTCTTGCAATCTTGTTCAGAACATTATATACAGCATCTTGAGAATGAACGTTTCATCCGAAAATTTGATTCGTAATACGTTTACACATGTAGATTGGTCTTTCTTTCACCTACATTAAGTTATATATGTGAACAAGTTTATTTTGAATACACAGTATGTTAACAATTGATGATTTCTTATAATTGTAAATTGATGAATTTACAATTGATGAATGCGTCTGGGGGGGATGGGGGGTACCGCCGCTTTAACGAGTCTAGCCTAAGAAGAGGTTGAAAAATACTCCCCCAATATAGTGCAATTACAAATAATTGTCAACAGACCCTGAACACTTAACCTAACCTAACCAATTTAATTTATATATGAGAAAATCGCTATTTTGAAAGTTTATATGAGATGAGTGTGACTTTGGGTTTGACTCCCGAATAAGGGAACATTGCCTGAAGACGGGATTTTATTGTGATTTGTTTTATATATGAATGTGATTTTACGTATAAATGTGATTTTATATATGAAACTAAGATTTATAAATTTTGGTCTTTTGGGAACGTCAGCTTTTAATGACCGACTAAAGTGAATTTATTATGCAAGCTCTAATAACCTTACAGAGCATTGGCAGATATTTGTGAATTTAGACACATTTGCTTTGACCCGATTATTACAGGCCGATTTGCCTTAAAATTATTATTGGTCAGTGTGCAATATTTAGGGAATTATGATGAGTTGTGTGTGAGTGTGTGTGTGTGTGCGTGTGTGTACGTGGATGTGTATTCACCTAGTTGTGCTCATGAGGGTTGAGCTCTGCTCTTTCGGCCCGCCTCTCAACTGTTACTAACTACTATTTATTTTTCACACACACACAAAGGAAGCGGCCTGTAACAGCTGTCTAACTCGCAGGTACCTATTTACTGCTAGGTAACGGGTCATCAGGGTGAAAGAAACTCTGCCCAGTATTTCTCGCCGGCGCTGGGAATCGAACTCCGGACCACAAGATTACGTATCAAGCGTGCTGTTCACTCAGCTACCGCCCGCCCGCCGTGAGTGTGTGTGTGTGTGTGCCACCGGCTCCCTGTTTGTGTGTGTGTGTGTGTGTGCTTAAGATCAGAACCCGTCCATCGGGTTAATTAGCTCCAGCATAAAAGTGTTCAATCTTTTTAATCTGTTGGACGGGAGTTTATGACGCTGTGATGCTTATCTTCTCCTCCCGGCATTGTTTTGGTAGTTCAGGCTGGTCCCTCACACCCGCCCACTCACCACTCACACCATCTCATTTGCATACGCTAATTCTACCTTTTGGAATACCTTATATATATTTTTTCGTTCGTTTTTTTGTTTTCGGGGAGTTGCTTGCACCCTGATTGGTCTTTTTCCTTGGCTGTAAATTGAATCGATTGGGGATATACTTCGTTTTGCAGGTTAGTTTTAGTTATTGTAAGCATTTATGAGGTAATAAGAAATGATGTCATAGTAGGCACACCAATGGCAGGCTGTCTTTGATGTTCGACATATATGACGTCATGCAATATATACCAATTAGAGGCTGTTTATGATGTGCTATTTTATTTAGAAAATTTACTATTTTCACATAAAAAGTCTCCTCCAGTCACCCAGTGCAACGGGTCAATAGGTCAACACCTTTTACGTTTTTACGTTAAAATTACAATACAGATGGTGCAGAGCCGCATGAATCAGCAGATGGTGGAGGTTAACGTTGGTCAACAGCTGGTAAGTAGGTCTAATGAAGCAGGTGGCTCAGAGCAGGATGAATCAGCAGGTGTTGGGGCTCAACGTAGGTCACCAGCTGGTAAGCAGGGAGACAGGCGGCGCTGGTCAGTGATGCAAGCCAGCAGAAGGTAGGCCACTGTAGGTCACTAGTCTGCATGAAGGCCTCACGAGACAGGGGTGTGCAGGTCGCCGTAGGTCAGCAGGTTGGTGGTGGGGAGGGGGTCAGGTGACAGAATGGATTGGGGGGGGGTCATGGTACCTTATGGAGAGGGGGGGAAGGGGGATTCGGATAAAAGGATGATTGGCTCATTCAGGAGACTGAATGAGTGGGGGAAGAGTTAGGTGACTAGATTGGGAAAGGGGGGGGGGGTGAATGGGATTACGAAACAGGTTGGGTCAGGGAATCATGGATTTTGGGGGGTTGAGGTGACAGGTGAACGGATGTGCAGTTAGCCAGGTATCCTAGGGGGGATGGGAAGGGTGCCAGTGTCAGATGGTTAGGGAAGCTAGTTAGCAAGGCGTGGGAGGGGGAGGTGGGGTTACAAAGGAAGGAGGGGGGGGGATGAAGGTCAGGGAAAGGTGGAGGTCCGCACTGGTATCTGGAAAACATTAAGGTTATTAGTATTGAATCATTACCTAACATTTATACAACATCAATTCACACACACACAATTCATATGTATTTATATATTAGTAGTGGAAGCAAAGAAAAAATATATTTTTTAAGTGTTCTGAATAAGAGTATAAAATAATGCTTGTCAGTTTAAATAATTAGTATCAAGTCATCAGACGACTTGATAATGGTCCGTGAGGGACCGAAACGTCGTCGTCTACTCATCTTCTGGTGTGTGGTTTGGTCAACATATCTTCAGTCACGTTATTGTGACTCTTCGTCTGCTTATTAGTATCAACTTAAAGTTTTAATAATTAATTCAGTTTTGGAACATAAGACTCGATAGCCCATAAAACAACATTGCTCCAGATTTTATCTCTGTTAATTTGTCCTCAGAATATTGTTTGTGATATTTAGCTGAGCGTTAAGATTAAATGTCTTACTTAACCATGGTAAATATATGTCGTTATTTTTTGGGCTTTCAGAGAACCGCTCAAAACTATCATCACAGTTACATCAGAGAAGTACAGATTATCTAGGTTCACTAAGGCACTTAGCTTTCTCTCCTTTTGCTAATCCAGTGAGTATTTTCACATTCCCCGTATTTTTACCTGTTCTGCGACATTCTCCGGGCAGTTCTTAGTCTGTTAACATTCACTATGGCTTACCTTGAGGTTACCTTGAGGTGCTTCCGGGGCTTAGCGTCCCCGCGGCCCGGTCGTCGACCAGGCCTCCTTTGGCTAATCAATATTCCAGAAATTCCAAATACTCTTCCTATTTTTTCACTATAACTTTATTTTTCTGCACGGGACACGTTCAAGTCACGAGATTCATGACAATGGGTCTTCCTTTCAGGTCCAACTCATGCTAATATTCTGTTAAATCACTACGAAGTCAGATGGTTATAAAAGTTCTCATTATATGCCAGACAATAAGTGGTTGAAGGAGCATTTGTAATTGCTTTTTCCCTGATCATGTGTTGGGGGTAACTTTAATGTTCGTGGAATAAACTGGGTTAACAAAATATGGAATACTGATGCAGAAGATTAGTTTTTTAGAATTGGCTGATGACGGCTTCTTTAAACATCATTAAGGAACCAATACGTAGAAAATAATATTTTTAACGTAGTGTTAACTAAGAGAAAGAGACACAAATCAGTGCCATCGAAATTAGGAGTGAGCTAGTTAACGTACCAGATTTCCCTAAAGCTGATTTTAATGGACTAAGAAATTTCTTGGGAAGGATAGATAGGGCAAACCTAATAATGGAAAGTAAGCTGGTCTTGGATTGTGATGTGAACCTAGCAATGAGTGACGTAACAAGGGATTGTGATGTAGATTCGAAATATAACTTTTTCCAGCATTTTCTAAGCAAAGCCCAGTATCGTAGTATTCTCTATAAATTGATTAGATCGAATAATATTGACCCCAAATAGATAACCACGAGTCTAAAGAATCTTGTCTGTAAAATAAATCTTCGTTCAAGAGCATTAAGAATGGGAACTTAATCTTGAACAACACTTAAACTAGTGTTGATATGTTAACATATTCATTTAAATATGGACTACTAGATATGTTAAAAAAACAAAACACAAATAAGGAAAGCAAAAAAAACAAAAACAAATAAGGAAAGCAAAAAAACAAACAAAAAACTATGAAGTACTTGCAGCAGGACAAGCAAAGACAATTCCTAAAGGTTATTTCTGCCATATAAAACAAATAGTAAGGAAAAGAAAGGTCAAATAACTGATAGTAACTAAAAAATTTGTAGTAAATTAAAAAAATATTTGTTTTCTTAATTTACTAAAATAAAGAACTTAACATTATGCCTTCAGCCAAGCAAGTCCCCAGGGCCGGACGTGGTGTTTGCCCAGGTGCTTAACAAATGCTAAGAGCTTCGTGAGCCCTTGGCTTGCATATTCAATAATTCATTAGAGTCAGGCAGAGTGCCGGAGTCGTGGAGGGTTGCTAATGTGGTATCAATTTTTAAGAAAGGACATAGATCAATTGGATCGAACTACTGGAGGTATGAATATGGTTTTCAGCTTAACGTCTATCGTTGGAAAATGGCTTGAATCAATGACTGCAAAAGCCATTCCAGTACATCTTGAAAATATTGCTTAATAAATAATTCACTACATGGTGCTAATGAAGGCCACTCATGTTTGGAACCTTTGCTTTCATTCTACTCCAACATTTTTTAAGCAGTTGATAGTGGAAAGGTTTTTGAGTTTGCACAGGAGTTGCTTGTGAGGTACAGTGTCAAAACCTTTCTGGGAATTCAGGAAAATACAGTCTTCTGAGTTCTCTCCATCTTGTTTGATTATTGTCGTCTTGTCATAAAACTCTAATAGGGTGGTTAAGCAAGATTTTCATTTGCTGAATCCATGATGATGCTTGAAAACAAAATTTATGTTTTAAATCTAAATGATAGATGAACCTTCTTTGGATTAGTCTTTCTATTACCTCACAGGGAATACTTGTTAGTAATATTGGTCTGAAGTTCAGTGGCTTCGTTCCTTTCTTGTATATAGGTTCCAAAGGTCAAGAAGTTCCCCGTTTCTAATAAGACGATGAATACTATTGCAGGGAGTACACGCAATGCTGCCAGCTCGTTCTCCTAAGGTTTCCCAACGTCAGGATGATGGCCATTTTAAAGTGTCCTCTCCTAACCGACCAGTGGACCCAAAACAGAAAACGGGACAGTACATCACTTTCGCGAGCTGCTTCTATTTTCTAGTACGACAATTTTTGGCCTTAAGTAACGGCCTCTTCTCTTCCTCTTGCTACAACTTTCATAACAACTACATAATCAAAGATCAGAACAGAATAGTCGCTTGCCCACAATGGCATTTCACGCTCAATGTTCATTTCATTTTGTGTGAAGACTAAATCCAATCGTCAGGTTGGTTTCTCCCTTGTCTTCGTGTTTAATCCCAAACATGTTGTGTTAAGGGGGTTTATTTTTTGCAACATCTACCAGTTTTGCTCTCCATTTTTTTTCTACCTCTCTCAGATTCATCGATCAATTCGCCCGTGATTGAAATCTTCCATAACTAGTTGCTTTAATTTCTGTCTGTTTATCAACACTGGTTACTGGTCGGAAGGGTATGCCTCCCTGACTTTCTTGTTGTAAGCTGTCAGATGCCTGCCTGATCCTCAAGCAGGCGTCTGAACTACAAGTCACTTTGGAGTTGTAGCTCATATGGGTGCTGTTATAGATCTCTTCAGCCTGTTGCCCTCTTCTCTCTTTCTTCACACCTCCAATTTCTCTCTCTTTTCCTCCCTCCTTCTTGCTCTCTCCCTGCCCTGTTTGATATTTTTCTTTATTTGATCATTTATTCATGTCATTTTCAAGACAAACCTTTCTGTAGCCTTTGCTATCTCTCAGGTTACCTTTTCGTCTCATCAGGATTCTTGGTGCCGCGTCATTTACAAATACCTGTTTTAGTGGTCTAATTCTTCTTTGTTGCTGTGCTGTAGCAGATGAACCCAGTCTATAACATTTTACTAAGTCTCAGCCTCGTACAGGTGTAGTAGTCTAAGGATATGTGTGGCCGATTCGTTATCTTTACGCAAGTGCGTGTGTGTACTTACCTAATTGTGCTTGCGGGGGTTGAGCTCTGGCTCTTTGGTCCAGCCTCTCAACCGTCAATCAACAGGTGTACAGGTTCCTGAGCCTATTGGGCTCTATCATATCTACACTTGAAACTGTGTATGGAGTCAGCCTCCACCATATCACTTCCTAATGCATTCCATTTGTCTACTACTCTGACACAAAAAATTCTTTCTGACTTCTTCATGGCTCATTTGGGCACTCAATTTCCACTTGTGTCCCCTAGTGCGTGTGCCCCTTGTGTTAAAAAGTTTGTCTTTATATACTCTATCAATTCCTCTGAGAATCTTGTATGTGGTGATCATGTCCCTTCTAACTCGTCTGTCTCCCAGTGACGTGATGTTTAATTCCCGTAGTTTCTCCTCGTCGCTCATGCCCCTCAGTTCTGGTACTAGTCTGATGGCAAACCTTTTCCAGTTTAGTCTTATGCTTGACTAGATATGAACTCCATGCTGGAGCCGCATACTCCAGGATTGGTCTGACATATGTGGTATATAATGTTCTGAAAGATTCCTTACACAAGTTTCTAAAGGTCGTTCTTATGTTAGCCAAACTGGCATATGCCGCTGATGTTATCCTCCTGATATGTGTGTGTGTGTGTGTGATGGAATTCGGTAAGTAACTATGCACGCAACAGTGAAATAGAGTCATCGTTTAATAACACCACTGTCACATTTATTCACACAAGGAATACACAAATTTATGTTGAATATCACAATGAGTCAGGCGGATTAGCGGCGATTTACTCATCCAGAGAATGTAAATCCTCTTGTTATGGGCGGCCACACGCATAATGTTATTCTAAATTATACGATTCTTGCTCTCTCTCATTTCATCTTTTAGGTCAATAAAGTTAACACAGAGGTAAATTATCAATTAATTATGAACGAGTTTGTGTAACATTATATATATATATATATATATATATATATATATATATATATATATATATATATATATATATATATATATATATATATATATATATATATATATATATATATATATATATATATATATATATATATATATATATATATATATATATATATATATATAATGTTTTATTATGATAAATTATGCAATATTTATAATTGAAAAAATGAAAAGCTGTCGCCAACGTTGTCAGCGCTCTCGTAGCCCTTCCTGGAGGTGGTATAGTCGCCGCCAGCGGTGTCGGCGCTCTTGTAGCCCTTCCAGGAGGTGGTATAGCCGCCGCCAGCGGTGTCGGCGCTCTCGTAGCCCTTCCTGGAGGTGGCATAGCCGCCTCCAGCGGTGTCGGCGCTCTCGTAGCCCTTCCTGGAGGTGGTATAGTCGCCGCCAGCGGTGTCGGCGCTCTCGTAGCCCTTCCTGGAGGTGGTATAGCCGCC